ACGTCCTCTGGATATCCTCGGAATATCCTCTGAATATATTTCGGATATGTTGTGCTATTATGGCTTCGCCATAATCATTTCTCCCGATATTCGTCTGATAAAAAGAGAAGATCACCCTCACCTTTGTTGTCACAGACGTCGCAAAGCACCATATCCGCGACAGAGAGTGTATCCTACCGCGTGGTCGCGTCTACACTGAGATATTTTGTGACGTAGGATGGCATCGCGTGGCGAATTGTAAAAAGAAGTGACAAAAGAGAGAGAGAGAGAGGGAAAAAAGAAAAAAGAGAGATCAGCAAGAACGAACACTATCGATCGGATCCCGGTCTGCAAAGTCTTAACGGTTTGACAGCCACGTTTACACTGACGGCGTGGCGCATCAGAACGATGTATGGATGAACGACCAACGGACCCCGATGGCGGGGTAGAAGAAAAGGGGAGAGGGAGAGAGAGAAGATCACCGATGTGACCCTTCGTGGTGGGGATGTCGGATCAATATTAGGGCGTAGACTCAAGGGCAAGGGCCGTTGGTGTTTATACGAGGTGAATGCTACACGGGATGTATCAGTCCTCCCAACCGTGGACCCCATTCAGGAATTTTCTCTTGGCGAGAAACGGAAATCAGAATTTTGCAGCGAGATAAGAGATTCGTGAGAATAAATAAAAAATATTTTAATTACTTAAAGCTAAATTGATTTAAAATAAGATTGCAAATTGAGACTTGCCCTTAAACCATTATATATATTTTAGAAAAATTGAAGATCAAAATTAAAATAAAATTTTCTAGAAAATTGTTTAAGTAATTATTGGATGAGAGATTATACATTTGATATACGGAGAAGATTCGATATAGAAATTTATTTCAATATAGATATTTATTTAACTAATTTTAATTAACACTAATTTTAGTATTAATTAATACTAATTTAATACTAATTTTACTTATTTTATTTAATTAGGAGATAATTATATAGGAATTAATTTTTCTCAATATGATGTTAAAAAAGATATAAAAAATATTGTACATTATAAATTAATAAGTAACACTCGATAAAAAATGACCTTTTTGTCAGGATCAGAATCGAAATAATCATTTTCAATACATTTCTTAGCGCAGATTATAAATTCAGACGTAAAAATTGCGCATTACGTCAAATTTTCAAAATATTCTAATGTAAAAATTGTGAAAATATTTTTATTCTTTTCTGTAAAGTATAACTTTTAATTGGGATGTGATACAAATAACTACACAATAACATTACCATACAAAATCAACTAAATTCTAACAATGCTTAAGCTCGTATGTAAACAAACACAATGATAAATTATTAAATATTATTAGGCCCTGTGTAACGAGCACAAAAATTTTATTAATTCTTAGAAAAACTACTCAAATAACTACAATAGCTGAAAATAAAGCTTAAGGCTAATAGTTTATGTAAAAATATGGAAAAGATCGAACCTAAAGAGTTTATCATATAAAAATTAGGTCAAAAGATTGAAAACTTTTTCTTATACCAATATACAGAATTTTCAAATGTTTAGTAAAGCCATTAAAATACTTTTTACAAAATTAATATAATGCGAATACTTATTTAGTCAGCTCTTTTAATTTTTAAAGCCACAATCTCCACTTGATTCCTCTCGACCAATAGAGCCAAACGCGATGTTATTGCGACAATTATGAGGAAGAACATTTTGGAAAGGAATTTGAATCCTATGGTTGGGATCTCAAAATTCCCCTGTTCCTTCTCTTAACATCCCCTGTAAAGAAATAGGCGAGAAAATATTGGTCCGAAAGTTGGCTGAATCGGGACGTCCCGATTCAGCCAACATGTTAAGAGAAGGAACAGGGGAATTTTGAGATCCCAACTATAGGATTCAAATTCCTTTCAAAATGTTCTTTCCTTCATAATTGTCGCAATAACATCGCGTTTGGCTCTATTGGTCGAGAGGAATCAAGTGGAGATTGTGGCTTTAAAAATTAATATATAGATGTAAACCTTAAATCACTGATAATAATAATGAATGTGAAGTCAGATTTTTAATTTTTGATCCGCCATATTGGATCTGCTGTTACGATTTATTCTGATGAATCGATTCTATTATCTTGACATGCTGTGATGTTTACACAGATTAATGTAAGTTGCGAGTTGTAAAAATTATTACGTGGGCGTGTAAAGTTATCGATATTTACCTCGAGATATCAGATAATCTATGTTTGCGTCGATTAATATTGAAAAAAAATTTCTTGTCAATAAAAATTTGATAAAAAGCTCTTTTTCTCAATACTCCAAATATCCGAAATTATTATTGATGTTAAAATAACACATTTTTGAAAGTAAAATAACATTTTGAAAAATAATTAACTAACATAATTAACTAATATAAATTAACTAACATAACTAATATGTTTAATTATCTCTTTCCGCAAATTTTTATCAAAAATAATACTGACTACTTTACACATGTTTAATGTCTAAATTAGAGAACAAATAATAATTATCATAATTATATATAAAATATAAATAAATAGCTTTGGATACATTTTTTGCTCTGTTTACGTGATGTTTACGCAAACGAATCGTCGTGAGTTTTGCCGCAGGGACGAACGATAAAAATGATTGCGTGTCATCGGACTGTTAATTAACGCGATACGCGTTTCCCCTTCGTTTATGAACTCTTTTGCGATACCGTGAGAATATGAATGCCACGTATTTCGCGCACGAGGCACGAGAGGGAGAAACGTGCCCCTTCTTTGGGGTTTCGGGCACAAAAGCGAGGCTAGGCAACCAAGGAAGGGCAAAAGGTGCATAGTTCAAGCATAAACGCGGTATTTCAAACACGACGCGATAAAGGATTAACCCCTTCGTGGGGCCACTGATAGCCCGAGATCCTTTGATTCAGGAATTTTTCCCCCGAGGCAGCTACTTCGCCAGCCTTCCCTGGAGAAGGATAAATGAGAGAAAGAGTTGGGGGAGGGAGGAAGGAGAATGGCTTCGCATTGCGGCAAGATTACGTATGGTCGGCGTAATGTGACGATATCTATACTGCGAATGCAACGCGAAATTCTTGACAACGTGCCAAGAGAAAAGAAGTTTAACTCAAATGTATATTTACCGAGATGAACAAAATATCCAAACCCATAGAAAATGCAAAATAGTTGGAACTTTTCCATTTGGAAGTACAAAATGCAAACTGTTCTTTAGACACCTATTTAAAATAAGAAATAGAAGATATTTTTAAAATAATTTTTTATATTTATATTTTTATATTTATTTCTAGTAAAATTTTTTATTTATATTTTATTTATATTCTTTATTTAGACCAACTTTTTCTCATTTCAATTTTTTATAAAGAAAAACTTAACTTCAATTTGTAACCATAACAACGATATATATTATCATATGTTTCTCAAAAATAAACTTACACTACTTTCAAAATAAACGGCTTATTTGACGAATATTTTGTTTTGAATGGAATTATAATTTTTAATGCGATATTGAAAATTTGAAATTTCTCTGCTGACACAATAGCATTAATATGCAATTTTCTAAGAAAAATTCAATTTTTAATTTTATTTTTAAAAGAAATATCTTCTTTCCTTGTTTCAAACTAGTAAAAAATGTCAAGATTAAAGTATCACGTTTTTTAATTCAATCTCTTACTACTACACTTATAATTTTTATTCCGGATATTGCATACATCCTGAATGGATGCAGTTGACTGGTTCAACCGGGAATTATATCGCCTCAACATTCTTGAGTTATCGAGTGGGTAAACGAGGAGATATAGTGAATCTACATGTAAGATGATAAGCTTAGATAAGAATGCTTACCTAGGATAAAAGAGCAGTACAAGATACGCCTGTCGCTGAATACCTTTTCAAGTAAAGAAGAGAAATTTCATTATAGACGTAATATCGTGAGAATGTACCGACACTTACGGTATTCACCAAAACACTCATTATCTCTCATAAAATATTTAAAATTAATATTTAACAACTTTTAGAGACTTATTTTGTTTAATTGTATTACGATAAAATGATATAATAATGTAACTAAGAAATAAACAAAATTATGCTTCCACTCATAAAAAGTTTATAGTTTTATGGAACTCATCATTCGCATATACAAATGAGAGTTCAGTATGTATACACAATTGAGGATGCTCGAGATGATTATCAACTCATATCTTTCACTACGGAATTAGAGAAGAGGTCCTCTCTGATGCGCGTCTGGCTTAACTCCATATGTAGAGACATATGTTGAGAGAACACTCAAATGATATGAGAGAACACTCCAAATACACACTCTATATAAGAGACACACTACCCTGACCTGCGATAGTAACAGTGAGTGAGCGAACGTGCGAGCGAGGGAGCGTCTAAAAATAGGGGTGCTTCGGTTCCCCGAGGGATTAAATACAGGCACGTCAGTTGTACCGTAATTTTTAAACACCTCGACAAACGTCACTAATCGAATCTGCCGGTTTATAAAACGTACTGCCTGCAGGCTATTAAAGTGATAAACCCGAAACCCTTCTTCAACAACAAGACATCTCGTCAAGTAAGATCTGCAGAATAATACCAATAAACCCATAAATACATCTCTGGCGATGTTCTTTTTAACAAAGTTAACTGTGTTAGCTAATCGAAAGTTAATTTGAAACAAAATTAAAATATCGACATTTCGAAAACTGTTGATCGTAGCTTATCGTAGAGTTTGTGACATTCTTTTTCTCGGTAAAAACCTAGGTAGCAAATATGCATCATTTTGACATCAGTTTGCTACTTGAGAATCTATCAAACACATTTATCAAATTAAGAGGTCCTGGAATCTTACAGCACACATATCCCGAAGACGTTTAAAGAACATCCTGGGGATGTCCCAATGTCCTCCGAATATTCTCTGAATGTCTTTCGAATATGTTGTGCTATTAGGGAAGTAACTTCTCCCTCAGAATTGAATTTTTCAAAAATATGAGATTTGCAAACTCACCCTTCCGCTGATCCTCGCTGTCCGAATGGAGCTCCACGTCGTGTAGCCTCATGGATTGTACGAATCCTCGCCAATGACTCCGCGAACGTCCTCTCTCGCCTAGATCGCTTTTCAGGTTCGCTAGCTGCTGGTTGGACTCCTTCAGCAGCCCGTCTAGAATATCCGGTCTTTCCAGATTAGAACTGGCCTTGCAATTCTCTTCCGTACTCGCTGTCCCGTTTGACAACTCCTTCCCGCGATTGAAAGAATTACAAAACCCTCGATCTTCGGGCTCATTTGCGTAATGATCTGCATCCTTCCATCCTCGATTCTTGGAGTTTCGCCTTCTACGAGCTGGCGGATGCGGCTGATCGTCCCAATTTGTTTCCTCTTTCTGCTTGCTCGTAATGTGCTTATCTTTCGAATCCTTTTCTAAAATTCTCTCTTGATGGACCTTACTCGATGCTTTTCCGTTTGTTTCCTTATTCGATGATCTGTTGGACGCGTTCTTTGGATTTTTATATTGATGATTTACCTTCGACTCCCGATTACTTCTCGACGCTTCCAGAAGCTTTTGCGCCAGCAACCGAGTCCTATTCATCTCTGTTCCAGGTTTCTTCTTCTCTTTCTCTGTATCGTTTTTATTTTCCTGTCATTGCTGCTCCTAATCGTCCTCGACGAAGGATCTACAGACTGGAACATCTGTTGAATCTTAAAGATGTCTGATCGAATTTTGGCTGAAGTCGGCGCGTCGTACTTTTATTCAAGATCAACTTTGACTCCGAATTTTCCATTCTTTGCGAAAAACTTTTGTGATTCCTTGTTGGAGTATTTCTCAGTCTCTCTAGGTCTTTCAGGTCCGCCAGAAGGGAACTGTGAGTCCTCGGTGTTCTGACGTTGCCATCTTCGAGACCAATCGCGACGCTTCGCGGTCGATTTCTCAAATCTGGCTTACCAATCTGATCCATCGGCGTAAGCGACTGCTCCACGAAGACTGTTTCGCGAATCTGATTGATGTTACGTAATCTAGGCGCTCCAATTTTTATACCGGTGGTCCTCATGATCACCTTTTCGACCGACTCAATGTCCCGCTCGCGACCCAATCGCCTCTCCTCAATTAGTCGCGCCCGATGGGAATCGATCGGCATCGCGTATGAAGTATGACAAGTCGGACCCTTAATAGTGACGGCAGTTCGCGAATTCGGGCCGGCCGAATTGATTTGTCTGCTGCTACGCAACGGAGACATGCGGACCAGTTTCGGTGCATCTCTGGGATCGTCTGTCTGCAAACTGTCCCGATATACCATCTTCCTTCGTTTATTTCGATTGGTTATTCTTGTCACCAGAATGATAAAAATCATTCAGAACGTCTCATTCTTGTTCATCTGAAAATTCAAATGTCATATTAGTATTAAATATTGAAGTTTATTAGTTAATCTTACAATTTGAATTATGACTTGATGCAGGTTTAATATTATCCAAAAAGAATCTACTTTTACTTATTTAAATAAAAGATCGAGCTTTATTTACAAAATAAAGACACATCAACTGCTGTTATTTGATTATGTGGCAAAAGATTTTGTCTTTTTTTAAAATATTATAGTGCAAAAATCCATTGCAACATTTATCAAAACAAATCTTATGATACGAAAAAAATTCATCTCTCTTCATAAAGAAAAACGTATATATTGAATTGAGATAATTGATTCTCGCAATTTGTCGCATTCACATATCTCGATGCCAATATAAGTTAATTCAATTTACAGAAACGTTCGATTTTTACACGTATCTTGTTTGTCAATTCACTTTTTCACGACACCGTTTGTTCGACGAGACACTTGTACATATACTGTAAAGGAAAAATAGCGACAACTTTTACGATCTATCGCATTCCCGACGTCTATTCAAGCCGCAAGGTCGTGTTCCGCGATGTGTTCAAATATCACCGACCACGCTGAAAATTACTGTCGTCGATGCAACATTTTATCAGCGAGCAACACGCATAAGTTTACCGTGTCTGTAATCGACGGCGCGAACGGAGAGAAAAGAATTATGATGAAGACCATCGAGAGTCAAGTCGGTAGCTGTGCGTTTTATGTGGGTGTCATCCAATGCATGTGGGCAGCGACCCCGTCGCACATGTTACACAACACACATCGAGGTACGGTTACGTGCGTACATATTTACGTGTGTAGGTGTCACGAGTGTGTTAAGAACGAACGATCGTCCGTCCGTGTGGTTGCATTCTAATCGACGTCCATTCTGCGCATTCTAATCGCAAGGCGATCGTTCGCGATTCAGGGTTGACAGTCGCGCCTCGCGAGCTGCCATAAATGGCCGGCCGGAGGCTTGAAGTGATCGGTGCGCGATTCCTCCTGCGATTGAGATAGACGATAGACAGATCGATCGTCGGCCATTGTCGACATTACCGCATGCGAAAGTGATATACACTTTTCAAAATAACCAAGGGATCAAACAATTGTCCAAAAAATAGGCAAATAAATAATTGTAACTTTGTTTTAAAAAATGATAATTTAAATTTTTAAAAAGAATTTTAAAGGTACCTTTTCATGTATCGCTCATCGCTCGTTTTCGGCGATATAATGACGTCACGTAATCGCTAGCGACATGATTTTGTAATTGAATTTTTTTAACTACATGCAATATTAACAAGTGAAAGGCAACTTTGAAATTTATGAATCAAATGAATAATGAAAGTGTAAGAAATTTTATAATAAATATTAAACATGTATAATAATAATAATATTTTATAATGTTATTTTATATGTAATGAAAATGTAAATATAAATCTGTTAATATAGGTTATGTCAAAAATATAACATCTTTTTGTATAACAGCAAGAAAGCACTGAATTAAATTAAATATTTTTTTTAGATTAAGTATGTTACATTTTTATTATCCATTTAATTCATATATTTCAAAGTTGTCTTTCACACTTGTTAATATCGCTTGTAATTGAAAAACCCAACTATAAAATCATATCTCTATCGATTACGTGACGTCATTATTGCCGAAAACAAGCGATGAGCAATAGGTACATGAAAGATACTTTAAAGCTTGAAATCTCTACTTTTGAAAATCATAGCTTTTTTATCTTCTTCAATTTTTAAAATTTTTTTACAAACAAAAAACGACGAATATAACAAAATGGAAAATTTTTTTGTAGACATATACAAGGTAATTTAAAAAAAAATTTTGATATTTTCACATTAAAGTCTAAAGTTTCCTTGCATCGTTTTTTAAAATTTAAATTTCGATCTTTCCTTATCAAGTTATCGCAAATTGAAGAGGAAATACCATTTTCACTTTAATTGTTTATAACTCCGTTCAAAATTATTATACAGCAATTTTAAGAATGGATTCTTAAAGCTGAATCTTTGCTCTATAGTGTGATATAAAGACAGAATTTTTTTAACTCGTAAACTTTTTCACAAATAGGTAAAAGTAACGAAGAAATTCGCGAGTTTTCTACTTTTTATTTAAACTTTGAAAAAAAGTTTTCATTCGAGTTCATCAAATATTTATCTGTTCAATTTCTGAGGAATCAGTTCAGTATGTACTTTAATATCTGAATTTCCTGTATTGGAATCGAGTCAAAAAAATTAAACTGATTTAAAGATATAGGTATGATACTGAATAATATTTAATTGTTCAATTTTGATTATTGATTTTTCACAGTTTAAAAAAAAAACACTTGCATTATTTATTCTGAGTTAAAAAATTATTTTTTTGACTAATTATTTATTTATTTTATTATTTATATTAAATTAAATTTGTGTGTCTCAGGCATTAGGCAATTCTTTCAGCTTTGATAAAAAAAAAAAAAAAAAACAAAGTTCAGCTTCGACCAAAAAATTGACCTTTGGTCAGATTCTAGTCGTCAGTTAAAATTGTTCTTTGAGACCGAAAGTATCTCGTCTGACTAAACTTTACAAACAATGGCGCACAACATATGTGCAACTTGAAAAGCAATAAAACATCCTTTACAAAAATAACTGATTGTGCAAAAACTGATGGATGATTTGCCGAAAGTCAACACTAGACACAATTGACTCATTCATGCTAAAAATGGTCCAATCCTGAGAATCGAAACGTTCATTGAATAAAAGATATTAAAATCAACATCCTTTTAATTAAGGTAGTAGATATTAAACTGACTACACTGGCTGTCTATTAGATTTGTTAAACTATATTTATTGACGTTTCGACCATACGGGCTGTGGTCCTTTTCAAAATTACAATAGAAGCATTCTAGAAATTAATGTACATGCAATCAGAATCAACATTTAAATTGAAAACGTGAAATGTAACAAATGAGACTTACAATGAGTTACTGCATATCGTTATTGACATTTAAAAGTACGCTCCGGTGAGACTTAACTTAAGATCGGATGGTAAATTAACTGCGTTTCACTTGTGTCATCTTGCCACGACTGAGCACACTGTACTAACGAATAAACACGCCGAAAATTATGTCAAAGTTAAAAGTTAACAATATTTACATTCTCGCTAAATTGTGATGTACCATATGGCAAATTACTAAAATAAAATATAAAAAATATAAAATAATAAAAAGATAAATAAATAAATAAATAGATATATTCGGTTCGCTTATGTCATCCTGCCTTAACATATCAATAATAAACTACTAATAATAGCTCCCAACCATGTATGTTAAAAATTTTTTACTTCAATTTCTAAACAAACTGTCATATATCGTACTAAAGCTTTCAGTGTCTTTCTGTAAATTGATAGTGGAATTCAATTTCTTGATAAAGTACATTTCGGCTATTTCTCTTTTTCTTCTATTGTTTTCTTTATGCAGAATTAAAGGATTCGACCAATCAAATTCATGTCCTTGATTAATTCTGTGCTCACTAACAACAGAAAAGTTGCTCGCTGAATTTTTAATATTACGTCGGTGTTCGTTAATCCTAGTACTAAGATGTCTTTTTGTCTGCCCTACATAATTAGAAACACAATTGTTACAATTAATACAATAGACTACGCCGGTTTGCTTATTAATATCTAAATTATCTTTCCCCGATTTTATTAAACAGTTCAGTTTTTTGGGGATGGTAAAAATTACGTTAAGGTTCTTTTTGTTTAGAAATCTATATATGTCATTAGTGAACCGATTACAATATGGAATGACGATGAAATTTTCCCTCGAAACATCCGTCGAATCTACATTTATAATTTTTTTTTATCCTCATTGTTTATAGGTTGTGACAGCTTGTGGGTTCTATCATTGACATATTTATTAATGAGATTTTCCGGGAAGCAATTATTTTTCAAAATATTCTTTACAATTTTTAAATTAGAGTCATGAAACCGTTTGTTAGATAAATTTATTGCATGGTCAACTAAATTGGTAATGGTGTTAATTTTATATTTCGTCGGATGATTCGAGAAAAAATTGATGTATCTTCCTGAGAATGTTGGTTTTCTGTACCAGTTAGTTATGAGCTTATTATCATCCCTGTGGACAATTGTATTCAAAAAGCTGAGTGAATTATTAGTTTCAATCTCATAAGTAAAAGTTAGTCTTGGGTGATAGCTATTAAACACCTCGCTCACCTCTAACAGTTTATCGTTAGGAAGGATCATGAATATGTCATCTACATATCTATAAAAACAAGATGTTTCGAAACCAAGCAAGGACAAACAATCTGTTTCAAGATCCTCCATTACGATATTTGCGAATATGGGGGAGAGAGGTGAGCCCATTGGACTCCCATAAATTTGTTCATAAGCTATCCCATTAAACATGAAACTAGTTGAACACAATATTGCATCAATCGCATGCCTGAACTGTTGAAAACTAAAATTAGTATGTCCCGATATCTCATTCCATCTCTTTTCTATACCTTTTATGACTAGTTCCTTCGGAATATTAGTGTAGAGTGAAGAGACATCCAACGACACCATTATATCGGTTGACTCTATGGTTTTATTATTTATTGATTTGACGAACTCCCACTATCTTTGACGAACGATCGAGGTTTTTGAATTGAATTTAGTAAGATAGAGTGTAAATAATTTGCCATCATATACGTTGGACTCCCAATTCAGTCATCTGACGCACGTATTTGTCCTTGTTCATAATGTCAATCTTTGAATAGACTTAAAACAAAAGAAAACATCAAATTTTATAAATAGACATATTCTAATCGAATTCTCAAAATGTAAAAAGTTTTTAAATAACAACAAAGATATTTTTGTAACGCGAGCGGATAAGGGACAAGTCACTGTCATTATGAACAAGGACAAATACGTGCGTCAGATGACTGAATTGTTGAGTGACACATCGACATATAAAAT